TGTGTGTGTGTGTGTTTGTGTTTGTGATTTGGGTGAAAGTTTGCAGAGTAAATTGGTTTCCATTCAACAATAAATACACATTTTGTTTTTTTGACATTCACTGCAGTCCCCGCAATGTAAAAGCACTCTTCCTACTTCCTCCCTGTGTTTACCATTCCCTTCATCCTTCTTTCCTATCCCTCTCTGCCTTCTGAACTTTATCCCTGGGCAAATGCTGCCCTTTTGATTTCATATGATTAATTGTTCTAATGAGTGTGTACCATGTTGGTGTTATTGTTCACCTTATAGGCCTATCTATTATTTGGCTACAAGTTGAGCCAGGGAGGGAAGTTCAGTTCCTGGCTTGAAGGGGTTCTAAAGGCCATAGTATCAGTGGTTCCACCAATCTCTATCAGACCAGTAAGCCTGGTCTTTTTTATGATTTTCAATTTTATTCCACTTTTTCTCCCACTCTATCCAGGACCTCCTATTGTGATCCCTTTCAGAACAGTCAGCAGTAGTAACAGGGCAGAGTCTAGTTCTTCTGGTCTCAGGGTCGCGGAAGCTTGGGTTCATGTGTTCCGTTAGTCCCTTGTACTAATTGTTTTCTTGCGTCTTTGATTTTCTTCAGTCTTCTTTTCTCCAGATGGAGAGAGACCAATAGTTTCACCTCATATGGCCACTCACAAGCTTTTCAGACCCCAGTCGCTACTCACCAAAGTACGATGTAGAATATTGTCTTTGTGGATTATGCCAACTGACCTTAGTGTCCCCTAGACTATGGTCCTGAGCCCCTGTGCCGAGACTCATTCCCTCAAGGTGTTTTGTCATGAGTAAGTAGTTTTCATAACTGTGCCCCCTGTGTGCTCTACTGTGTTCATGGATTTGTTTGCAGCACATATAAATACATACATAGAGGTATCATATCCTCTGTCAAACTTACATATATAAATACTTTTTTCCATGGGTGTAGTTCCATTTGCCTTCCCACCTCTATTCAGCTTGCCTGTCAATCTATGTGTCTACTTATAGATTCTGGTTATTACTGTTATTGCAGGATTGTGCATGCAATAATATTTACCTTTGTTGCCTTTAACTCTTGTGCTCCTTCCAGTGTCATCTTCTGCCTTGATCACTTTGTGGTGACCTCCCCCTTATTATATATTGCTTTTCCCTTCACCCATGTTAGTAATATAGTTAGTAATTTGCCTTGCCTTTCCCTCTCACTCCTAGTAACCTTCAAAGAATGGTTCTTTTTGTTTGTAAACATTTTCTTGAGTTTTTACAGTAGTGGTCTCATGCAATATCTGCCCTTTTGAGATTGGCTAATTTCTCTGAGCATAATGTCCTCTAGGTTCATCCATGTTATGAAGTGTTTCGCAGATTCATCGTTATTCTTTAACATTGTGTAGTATTCTTTTGTGTATAAGTACCGTGCTTTGTTTACCCATTTATCTGTTGGTAGGCACTTAGGTTGTTTCCATCTTTTTGGCATTGTGAATAGTGCTACAGTGAACATGGGTGTGAATATATCTGTTCATTTCACAGCTCTTATTTCTTTAGGATCTATACCTAGTAGCAGAATTGCTGGATCATATGGCATTTCTATGTCCCACTTTGTAAGGAAGCACCATACCATTTTCCACAGTGGTGCCATTTTACAGTTGCACTAGCAGTGTATGAGGGTTCCAGTCTCTCTACACTCTTACTAGCATTTGTTGTTTTCTGGTTGCCTTTTTTTCTAACTTTGCCTATTAAAGCTGGTTTAATTTGCATCTCTCTCTAATGGCTAATTATCATGAGCATTTTTCTTCATGTGTTTCTTAGCCAGCTGAATGCCTTCTTTGGTGAAATGTCTGTTTGTGTCCTCTGCCTATTTTTTTAAATTGGATTGCTTGTCTTTTTGCTGTTGAGGTGTTGAAGTTTTCTATAAATTTTAGAGATTAGTCTCTTTTGTGATTGCCTTTTTTCATTTAGGTAATTCTTTTGAGATTCATCCATATTATCTTACATCTCAGCAGTTCTTTTTATTTTGAAGTAGTATTCCATTGTATAGATATATCACATTTTGTGTTTCCTTTTTTCTTTATAGTTTTGGCCCATTATGAATAAACTTGCTATGAACGTTCATATACAGGTCTTTGTGTGGTCATATGTTTTCATTTCTCCTTAGTAGTGGAATTGCTGTGTCATATAAGTGTATGAAGTGTGTGTTCGTTTAACTTTATAAAAAACTACCAGACTGTTAGCCAAAGTAGCTGTACTGTTTTGCAGTTCTCAGCAGTGTATGACAGTTCTAGTTGCTACATTCTCACCAACCTTAGGTATGATCAGTCTTTAACTTTAGACATTCTAGTAGGTATACAGTGGTATCTTACTTGTTTTTGATTTACATGTTCCTAGTAACCAAAACTCTGGTAGCTTAGTGCCTAAGGCACTTGACTGCTAACCAGAAGGCTGGCGGTTCAAACGCACCAGCCACTCCTTGGAAGGAAGATGGGACAATCTACTTCCGTAGTGATACTGCCTCAGAAACCCAAGGAGGGGTCGCTATGAGTCGGGTCCGACTTGACGGCAAACAACACCACACACACACACACACACACACACACACCAGTAACTAATTATGTCTTCAGTACTTATTTGCCATCCTTGTATGTTCTTTGATTACAGTCTTTTCAAATATATTATGCCTGTATTTTAATTGAGTTGTGTCTGTGTTTTATTGGGTTCTGAGAGTTCTTTATGTATTCTGGATACAAGTCCTTTCTTAGATGAATATTATAAACATTTTCTCCTAGTCTGGAGCTTGTCTTTTTTTTTTTTTTTTTTCCTTAGCAGTGTCTTTCAAAAATCAGATGATTTAAATGTTGATAAAGTTCAATTTATAACGTTTTTTGGTTCATGATATTTGCTTAATATCCAAGGTCGCAAAGATTTTTCTGCTTTGTGCTAAATATAGAAATATATATGTAAACAAGACATACAAGATACCTATCTTTTTTTTCTCCTATGTTGTCTTCTTGAATTTATTTTTAGTTTTAGCTCTTAAAAGTTAGGTCTGTGATCCATTCAGGTTATTATTTTGTAAATAAGCATCAAGGTTCTTTTTTTTTTATTATTATGTGAGATTATTCAGTACCATTTGTTGGAATTACTACACTTTCTTCATTGAATTACCTTGTTACCATTGTTGAGAATCAGTTGACCATATATGCATGGGTTATCCCATTTTTAAACAAAGACTCCCTCGCATACTCAGTTAACTAAAAACATCTCACTTCCACCTCTTCACAGCCATTCATTAAATAGTGGTCTGGGCCCACTGTTTCCGGTTCTTCACTTCTTTCTTACTCCTCACATTGGCCTCTTTCTCTACCATTCCATTAAAACAATTTTTGCCAGAATCACTAGTGAGCTGTTCTGACATTCAGTGGAAACTTTCACCCTTGTCTTATGTGATACTCAGTGGCTTTGGACCTTGTTGATCTTTCAGACAGTCTCTTCTTTTGCCTGATGAAGCATCTCATTGTCCTCATTTTCCTTCTTTTTGTTTGTTCCTATATGTCTACACTTGCTAATTCTTGTCTGCCTGTTTTTCAAGTATCAATGACCCTTCAGGACTTTTGACCAAAGTCCTTTTTTGTTCTCATTGTATTCACATTCCCTCCTTATTCCCATTCACTCTCCTAGCTAAAGAATCTTAAATTTCTATTGTACTCAAATCTTTTCTGAGTTTTATTTCTGCATATCTAACTGCCTATCAGGAGCTCTGGTAGCATAGTGGCTAAAGCACTTGACTGCTAACCAGAAGGCTGGCGGTTCAAACCCACCAGCCACTCCTCGGAAGGAAGGTTGGGCAATCCTACTTCCGTAGTGATACTGCCTCGGAAACCCAAGGAGGGGTCGCTATGAGTCGGGGCCGACTCGACAGCACATAACAACAACAACAACAACAACTGCCTACCAGGACCATAAGCTCTATGAAGACAAGTATTTTATATAACTTGTTCACATTTGTATTTCATGTTTATAGACAGTTAGAACTGAATAACTATTACTTGAATGACTGAAAAATGAATACATGAACAAACTAACCAACCTGTGTAGTTACTATTGTAACATCTTATAATTCTAATATAATATTTTAACATCAGCCCTTTTACAGATATGCACATTCTGTGAGAACATGGTTGAGGACACAAGAAAAGTAAACTACTTTTAGAATCACATATTTTGTTTTTTACATGGCTCATTTTTCCTGTTACAGTTGGTAGGGAACCTTAAGATGAAGAAGGGGGAATGAGACCTTGGCTAGGGGCAGGCAGGAGATGAGAGAGCAAGGATTCATTTCTTCAAATATTCCATTTTCAAAAAGCTGCAAACACCGTTTCTAAGGTTTTTTGTTTTGTTTGTTTGTTTGTTTGTTCTTTTTCTTCAATAATTACCTATATTACTCAGGGAATAAAATATTTTACTGGCTCTATTAAATTGTTAATGCAACTTTAGTTATAATACATTATTTCTCTTACCTTTTTCACCTAAGCTTTATAATATTTTTCTTCCTAGTCCTAAAGTGGTTCTTGAGAGTCATATAATAGGAAGATCTAAATTATGTAATATAGATTCTTTTATATGTAATATGATTAATATTTTTATGATCATCTGAGTGTCCATATCAGAGAATATATATGCTTATAATAAGTTTAGCATCATGTCACTTTGAGGGTATTTGGGAGAAATATAAGACATAGTCCTCATTGCTGCCCTCAGGAGTACAGACCTACTGGGAGATAAGGCACAAACAGCCAGCAGTAACAGCAATACTGTCAGGCCATTTGTTAGTGTCCGTTGTCTGCTACTTGACAAGAAAGATGTGTATCTAAACATATGTTTTGGCCTTGCCTATCACTGCAAGCTGTTCTGTAAATGTTCAGGATTTCTCTGTATATGCCCTTTTTATTTGTTCTGGAGTGTGTGGTCCTTTACATTTCTCTGTCTCTCTCTCTCCTACATTTCAGTGAGCGGTTTCTGGTGAGACTGAACAAGAATGGTGGGCCAAGGAACCCAGAGAAGATAGAACGAATGTGTGCCCTTTTTACAGTATGTGCAAATTCTCTTTCCCTTCTTTGCTGTTAACTCTAACCAAGGGCCTGTTGTGTGGATTTTGTCACCCTGGAAATGAGTATTATTCTTATTTCTCCACATGCTGGGGCGAATAGGACTTGATTTATGTTTCTATCAGGTTTTAATGAAACATTTAATGAAAACTGAAATCAGCTACAGGTTTTAATTAAATTTTTCATTAAAGAAATATAATCAAGTCCTTTTACTGATGTAGATTTTATGAGCTATTTCATATAGTGGACACCTAAAATCTAAGCAAAGTCTCTCTTACTATTCTTGTCCAAAGCCAATGGGAATTTGTTTGATGTGTAAATACAGTTTCTTTTAAAGGTATCTACCAAATTTATAATTTTGAAATTTGTTAGCAAGTACATATAAAGAGGGACAAACTAAATAGTCTTTCCCTTCCAAATACAAATGAGGAGGCTGAGTGCCTACTGCTATCAGCCATCACAGACCCGTCAGCTCAGAGAAGGCTTGGTATTCTGCTTATAGGAAAGTGCTAAACCTCACAATAACCACTTTGCTATGTTGTTCTCCAAGTTGATTCAAATTTATTATTTTTTTACCCAGTTAGAAAACTGTTTAACTTTCTGTGTTTGAATTAATATGTTTGTTGAAGAAGAAAACAAGAATTACCACAATTTTAAACCAGTTTCAACTCTCATGAATTCTTTGATCTGCTTTAGTGACACTAACAGGTATCAGAACCCGTCAGTTCAGGAAGCTGTGATGGTCTCACAGTACCCCTGCCCTTAAGTGGCACATGATGGATGATTGCTAGTCAGATCTCTTCAAGCTTACAGTGTGCCTCTTGAACACAAATGAGATTTATCTGGGGATCTAATATGTGACCTGATCTTAAAAATAAAACTGCATTTGTTCTCCTAACTTTTCTGTTCTTTTACTGCAACTTTATTTTTCAAATTGTCAAATTATATTATTGCAGAGTCAGAAACCACCTTCACAAACATAGCTTTTATTGAAAATCTTCCAGATACGCAGAAAGATTAACTTACAAATCAAGCTAAGTTAAGATTATATTGGTGTCCATCTATGAGCTCAGGATTCATGGTTTAGGAGATAATACAGGAAGAAAGAAAAGGGAAAGTTGACCAATGAAAAAGGTAAAGGGAGTTGAATCTAGTGGAGAAAATGAATCAGTGCTCTTTCTTTTCAATAAAGAGCCTGAATTGCAGTTAATGGGATTTAAATTAGAACATTAGCTGAAGAGCTTCTAAAGTGAGAGTACCTGAACCTCTGAGTGGTACTCTGTGGGGCTTCCTTTCTGTAGAAGAGTTAGAAAGAGATGAGATTTCCATCTCTCTAGAATGACGAGTGAGCACAGTTACCTTAGGAGGTTTTTCTAAATTCTGATTCTCTGATATTGTCTGGTAAAGCAGTGAGAGAAATCATTGGTGCCTTATTCCTTGGCATTATGGCAACAGATCTCTGTGTGTGAGCTATCCTTAAATATGATGAGTCTAGTGTTTCTCTGTTGAAAAATGAACTTATGATAGGTATTTGAATGTAACTACAGTAAATCAAAATTTTCATTGGTAGCATTTTAACTATCTATATGGACCCAGAGGTTTAAGCTGTACCCTCAACTCCATAAATCAAAGCTGCATACAGCACTCATGAAGCGCTCTTCTCCTGCCAAAGTGGAAGGCACAGGGCTGCTAAATACACCTCTTCATAGTTCCTGGATTGTATTTTATAGGTCACAGACATGAGTTGAGGAATGTTTACAAAACACATGAGATTTTTTTTTTAACAAGGTTCTCTTATCCAGGATTCTCATGTTTTACTTTGAGCTATATGCAATAATTTTGGTAAAATCTGTTTTTTTGTTATTGTAAGACTTTGAGTTTCCCCTGTGAGCTAAAGAAGTTTTCCAGATTGGCATATGTACTACACAATCTCAGAGTAAATGCAAGAAAATGCAGATACAACTGTGGTCAGTGCTGACCTGTCAGCTTACTTTACCATTGGGAAAAGGAGATCTTACAAATCCAGCAGTTTGCAGGACTCTTTACCCAGCAGACTTCAGAGCCAGATTACAGACAGTCCCATTATCCACAGAACAACCTATTCTCTGTGTAGCTTTATTATTCTGACTCTGATCAGATTTCTTTATAAAGGACTAGGAGCTCTGGTGGTATAGTACCTAAGGCACTTGACTACTAACCAGAAGGCTGGCAGTTCAAACCCACCAGCCACTCCCAGGAAGGAAGGTTGGGCAATCTACTTCCGTAGTGATACCGCCTCAGAAACCTAAGGAGGGGTTGCTATGAGTCGGATCCAACTCGGAAGCAGTGAGTTTGGTTTTTTGGTTTGTAAAGGAATAATTCTATCCAAGAAAGAAGTGATTTATACTTACATGAATGTCAGTAAGTGGGGATTTTGCTGACTTTCATAATAAACAGTGACTGTGTGTACATGTGTGTGATGGCATGTATATGTGTATCTGCTCAATGCCAGATTCCCCAGAGCCTCACACAGTCCCTAGCAAATATTAAGATCTCAATCCTTATCTGTTGTATAAATAGCTGAATATATGCCTATTTTGCTATTATGTTTGAGTGACCAACTTGAAGAACATTTATTTATAGTCTTCCACATTCCAAAATAGGATTTGAGCAAATGATTTATTGTAGTTAAGCATTGAACTTGATTATTACTGCAGTAGCATCATGTGTTAAACTATTGCTTGTTTTTCACAGCTGTAGTTTGAATAAATTGGCTTTATTTTGTATTTGTTAATCTTATTATTCATATAGAAAACAAGTAGCCCAGGAACAGGGACGTGAATTGTCTTTTTTATATTTCAAGTGAAACATCAATAACTGAGCCTGAGATGCTGGCTCACTTGCCTCTCTGCCTACTGTGTAGTTGGGGAACATCTTTCCTGGTTATATTGGAAAGTTTGGTCCAGTGAGTAAATCTAATTCTTGCTGTGCAGTTGGAATTTAAACTCTGCTTGCCAGAAAAGTGGTAGGTGAATCACCCTATTGCCATCTCAGTTTTACAGGTTTGTGTTTTCACATAGACAGCCACACTTGACACTTTTTAACCTTGAAAAGCACATTTTTAGTAACCTTTTGTTAACTGTGTTTAGCCATACACTTATATTTAATAACAGTTTTGACATTGAAATTTTACAGTGAAAATTATGTAGAATTCACAAATACTAATTTTACTTAAAATATTTTCTTATGCTAATTATTATTGTCTTATTTTTATTGATGTCAAATACCACTGAGAGTTCGGGGTACCATGTACAACACGATCAGAAAGAATCTCTACCCAGCCACTTGTAAAATATTGTAAATTAGACTCAAGACTTCTTTCTTTTATTCACTCAACCAGAGCTAAGGGAAAAGTCTGGTGTTCTTATATACAGCCCATCTGGTTAATATTTGGTCATCTTTGGTAACTTGTTTGTTAATTCTGTAGATATACTGGAGTTAGTAATTATACTAGTCATTTGATAGTTTGAGTTAAAACAACCCAAACTATGTGCAAGGAGCCATTTTACCTTGAAATGTGTCAAACATTTATTTATCCTTCTGTAATATACATGTTTTAATCCCAAAAGATACATCAGAATGGTCCATCTTTTTAAACTTCTGTTTATTATTCAGCAGCTATCTTGAGAAGTATCAAAATACAGTGCTACTTTGACATATCATTTTAAATTCCACTTTTAAATGAAAGGAAATAGTAAAATTTAGCCTGGCACATCTTCTTCTTCAATATTAAAAGACAACTTTCTTGTGAAAATATATCTTTGTGATTCCAGAGATACCAATTTATATTAAATTATTTTTTAACCTGTTTCATTGTAAGAATATTTTATTATTCTATTAAGAACTTGGGAAAATAAAATAACCATCTAGGATCTAAAAGCTTCAGCTTCACCATTATATGTTATTGATTTTTAAGCTTATATGCCTTTATTTATTTCATTTTAATTTTAATTTTTTAACCATTTATTTTGTTGTTGTTGAGAATATACATAGCAAAACACACCTGTTCAACCATTTGTACATCTACCATTCAGTGACATTGATTACATTCTTCAAGTGTGCAACCATTCTTACCCCCCTTTTCTAAGTTGTTCCTCTCTCATTAACATAAACTACTGCCTCCTAAGGTTCTCATCTAATTTTTTGAGTTGCTGTTGTTCACTTTGATTCTATAGGGATAATTCTTAAAAGAGCATAATGCTCAAAGCAGACCTTTTTTTTTTTACTAATTAAGCTAGATGACTGTTTGGTTTTAGAAAGACTGCAGCAAATATTTTTGGTCTAAGTTTTAAAGATTATCTCAGAGCAGTAGTTTCAGAGGTTCATCAGAATTTCTGAAATTCAAATTTTGAGAAATTCTGGAGTCCATGAGAATTTGAAATTCTGTTCTGCGTTTTCCCATTTTGACTGGGATTTTTCTATAGAATATTTGATCAAAATGTTTAGTAATGGTAGCTGGGTACCATATAGTTCTTCTGGCAAAGGAAGCAATTGTTCATAGAGACAATTAGCCACACATTGCAAAACTCCTACTACTGACTCCTCTTCTTCCTCTGTTGCTCCAGGTGAATAAAGACCAGTTGTCATGCCTTGCATGGCCACTTGTAAGCTTGGATGGTCCCAGGCACTACTCAATAACTTGGAAGTAGAACAGAAGCACCAAATACATTTTTAGGCCAGTTAACTGGGATGTCCCATAAAACCATGGCCCCAAACCTCCAAACCAAGGAACCAAATCCCAGAAACTTTTTGGTTGCTGCACATAAGCAGTCTTATCACTACTCTTTTTTCTTTTTTGGTTGCTGTAAATATATCTATCACCCAACTTTTGCCAATTCAATTTTTTATAAATACAGTTCATTGACAGCAATTACAGTAATCAGCTGTGCCACCCTACCCTTAGTCAGTGTGACTTTTTCATCACTGTTAACCTCCCTTTTCCCCCCTCCTTCCTACTCCTAGTAACCACTAACAAACTTTTGTCTCTATGCATTTGCCTTTTCTTATCTTTTTATATAAGTGAGGTCATATAATATTTGTCCTTTTGTGATTGACTTATGTCGATCAGCATAATATCTTCAAGCTCCATTCAGATTATAGCATGTTTCAAGATTTCATTTCTTCTGTTGACTGGGTAGTATTCCATTGTATGTATGAACTACATTTTGTTTATCCATTCATCTCTTGATGAGCAATTAGGTTGATTCCACCTTTTGGCTATTGTGAATCGTGGTGCAGTGAACATTATTGGAACCCTTATCTATGCTGGTGGTAATGCAAAATGGTCCACCCATTGTAGAAAACAGTGTGATAGTTCCTCAAAAAACTGAAAATAGAACTAACATATAACCTGGCAATTCTACTTCTAGATATGTGCACCCAAAAGACTTGGAAAGCCGAGACTCAAACAGAGACTTGTACACCAGTGTTCTACTTACATATTGCTTTTTAATGTCCCCTTTCCCTTAACATATTCATGACTAGCCAACATGGCAAGTGTGGGACTAGGACGAAGCAAACAAGGCACAGGACCCTGAGAGTGAGTGCCTCCTTAAATTGTGTACATTAGGTATGTTACTTGCCTCACTCTAGTCCTAACCCTGTAACCGAGAATGAAAATAAAGCAAAGATGGGACTGTGGATCTCAAAGCTCAATCCAAATCATGGCTGCCACTTGATTATCCCTTTTTCCTGTTTTACTAAAGAGAGACAAGCATCTAGGTCCAATCAAAAGATGAAAGATACTAAGGAAATAGAACTAAGGAACCCTTTCCTAGAAACAAAAGGGAAATCATTGGCACTGTCCATTTAGGGCAGAGGATGCTTCATCAACCATCATTAATTCACAACAATGGCTGGGAGAGGAGCTAGTTGGCAATCTGGTGAAAAGTCTGAAACAATACATACTTCAAGAAGTTTTTTACTTCAAGTATAATGCATTAAATAAAATATAAATGCATGCTCATGAACAAACATTTTATTCCAAAAGGTGTTCTAAACATAAATACTTAATGTATAAAGTATTTACATTATTCTTGCAATTGAAAAAGTTTCTGACTACAAGTCAAAATCAGTTCAATGATGGTATGTAGAAAGTCAACCCTTGCAATTTTCCACATGAAATTATTTTCAGCTTTGTACTTTAGTGTAAGTTATGCATGTCTAAATTTAGAAAAAGAAATAAAATTGTTGAGGTTTCACTAAAATCAAATTAATTTCATTTTAAGGGAATAGTCCTAGTGTGTAATAGTCACTGGTGGACAATGAAATAAATTTAAAATTAGTAGAAAATAAACTTTTGGAATTTTAGTCACTAATGAGCTTTTGGGTGTTCTATTTTTCCTGCATTAAATATTTATTCCTTTTGTTACAGAATGTTTTTATATGATATTAGAATAAATGTGATAAAGCAATATTATAAATATTTCTAATGACCCACCAGCCACTCCTCGGAAGGAAGGTTGGGCAATCCTACTTCCGTAGTGATACTGCCTCGGAAACCCAAGGAGGGGTCGCTATGAGTCGGGGCCGACTCGACGGCAAATAACAACATAACAACAACAATGTGAGAATTCTTACAGATATTTGATTTCTTATCTAAATAAGTGCTGAAAAATATTCAGGAAAATAAACTTCCAGAAACATGTAAGATATCCATACTTTCACTATAGGAGCCTCATAAACACTGAACTGCTGTATGCTTTATCCCCCTCCCTCACCTATAACGTGCTAAAAGCAACAAAAGCAAATCATTATGGGGTTCAAAGTGAAATGTTAATTATTTTCTGTGTATTCATTGCCTCAATTTACTTATGGTTTCTCTTTTCTTAGGATCTGAGCAGCAAAGATATGAAGAGGGATTTATATATAGTTGCCCATGTGATCCGAATAGGTACTGTTCACCTTATCCATTCATATGATTTAGACTAACTCAAGTTAGAATAAATATCTCCTATTTATGAATTTTCTCTTTCCCTAGCTCTTATATATTAGAGTCCAGCTTAAATTGTGTTTCTACCTTAAACTCAGCTGCTGTGGTAGCTGAGTTTGATATAAATAGATTTTTTTCTCTCTTGAGACCTTTTGCTGCCTTTGGTTTGGGACTCAAATTACTTATTTAAATGGTGTACTTTTTAACATTCCCTCAATCACATCATAATATTGTCCTGCCCCTGTACAACTGTCTGTCTCAGAGGTCTTATAGCAGGTCCTGGGGTCATGGATGGAGGTGGCAGGTGGTCCTTGCTCTTGGTATGTGTCTAAAATTATATTCCTATGCTATTTTCCAGGAGCTCTGGTAGTGTAGTGCCTAAGGCACTTGACTGCTAACCAGAAGGCTGGGAGTTCAAACCCATCAGCCTTTCCTCAGAAGGAAGACTGGGCAATCTACTTCTGTAGTGATATCACCTCAGAAACCCAAGGAGGGGTCGCTATGAGTTGGGTCTGACTCGATGGCACATAACAACAACAATGCTATTTTCCACAAAATTAGTTATTGTCATCACTCCACTAGATGGATGGCACCTCACCTCTGCCTCACCCAAGATGAAGAAAGTGATTTGTGTAGTTGTTGTGTGGTTGGTTTGCCCAGCCTTATTTCAAGTTTATGACATTATTTTGAGGGCTATGACTAATCAAGTTCTTCCTTCATAGGCTAGTATTCTAGCATATCTTGTACATTTTTGTCAAAGAATATTTTTTAATCCCTTACCAAGAAAACAACTGTTTTGCTATATTTAATAAAGCATTTGTTTGAGGCTCCAGTTTTGTTTGCACAGCCTTTGATAAGGAGGAGCTATCAACTTCCTGAGATGCTCTCACTTCCACAGTGATTCAGGAGCAGCTTTGGCAGCACAGTATGGTTGGAAGAACAACATATCCTCATCCCTTTCTGTGCATACATAGTTTATGTCTGACAGATAAAATACTAAACTTCAGATCCTTAATATACCTGGAAATTTAAATCTATTCCAGAAAACCAAACCTACTGCCATCGAGTCGGATCCGACTCATAGGGACCCCTCCTTGGGTTTCTGAGGCAGTATCACTACGGAAGTAGATTGCCTAACCTTGTATTAGTACACTAGTTTTTCTAAGAAACTCATGAAGCACAGTGATTTATTGTCATCTGATTAATGCACTGACAATAAATGTTACTGTTGGTGTTGGTTCATGGGTAGGTGATAAGGGTGATTGACTGAATGTGCCCTGGCCAGAGGCCTGTTTGAGTTCCTGCACATAAAGATCTTTGCATCTTTGGAAGTCTGCCTTCAGCCGTCTAGTCTTAGTTGGCCAATTTAGAGGATCTCTAAGATGTTTGTAGCTCTGGCATCCTCAAATGGCAGTCAAAGTGATGCTGGAGAGGTATATGATGTTCTCAGTCTGACTGGTGTTTTCTGCTGTGTCCCAGGTCGGATGCTCTTGAATGACTCAAAGAAAGGCCCTGCCCACCTGCACTACCGGCGACCATATGGCTGTGCGGTCCTGAGCATCCTGGATGTCCTACAGTCACTCACGGAAGTAAAGGAAGAAAAGGATTTTGTGCTTAAGGTTTACACGTGAGTAATGGACATCAGGAATATTTATTATTTGTAACATTAGACATTCTACCACTGCCCTTGAGTACCCAGAATCACCAGGATTTAGGATAGGGAGTTATTTGAAAATGCAGAGCTTCAGATCTAAGCTCTACATTAGGACCTAGGCAGCTGTATTGTTAAAAAGCTTCCAGGAGATTGTGAAACAACTAAATTTGGGAGGGGTCTCTATGAGTCGGATCCGACTTGACGGCAGTGAGTTTTTGTTTGTTATCCTAAAGGAAGGAGCCCTGGTGGCACAATGGTTAAAGAATTCAACTGCCAGGTGAAAGGTCAGTGGTTCAAAACTGTTAGCGGTTTCATGGGAGAAAAATGTGGCATTCTGCTTCTATAAAGATTTACAGCCTCAGAAACACTGTGGGGCAGTTTTACTCTGTCCTATAGCACTGCTCTGAGTTGGAATCAGTTCAACGGCAGCAGGTATCCTAAAATAAGAATCTGGTAGTAGGCATTTCCTTTTCTCACCAAGATTAATCAACCTTCTTAGATGTTTGCAGAATAGCTAATAATGTAATTGCATATTGTGTCTTGGATATAAAAGAGTCTGTCTCTTCTGTGTCAAACAGATACCTGCCTACCAGCTTTTTCAACTGAGTTCACTAGTGATATATATTGCTTCAGAGGATGCTCATGAGTCAGTTTGCCCTGTATTTGAAGAAAAGTCAGTTTTTCTGAGGAACTTCTTCACTTCTGCTACTAAAAATCTATAGGTCACATCTAACAGGCATGGCTTTTTTTTTTTTAGTGTTCATCAGGCTGGGGATCTGCCTTTCAGAAGTAATATCTCTTTCTGACTCTTGTTAAGCAATAGAAAAAGACAAAATAAACAAACAGGGAAACCAGGTAGATAATGTGTCTTTGCTTGTAGAGACTTAAGACACAAGTAGTAGTGCTGGAAAAAAATGCTCAGTGGTCAGTTGAATTTTTAAAGCAAGTATATTTCTAACTCTGACAATTAAAAAAAAAAAAAATCTGTCCTATCCTAGATTTAACCCAATATTGTTCTTCCAAATTAACTATTAAAAAAAAGTCTATCAATTACTATGTTAATATATCTTTAGTATTTTTTTTATAAAAAAATTTATTGTGATTTGGGTGAATGTTTACAGAGAAAATTCATTTTCCATACAGCAGTTCATACACATTTTGTCTCATGACATTGACTGTAATTCCCCACAGTGTAACAGCTCTCTTCCCACTTCCTCCCCATAGTTACCTCTTCCCTGTGCCCTTCCTTCCCATGCACTCCCACACCCTGAGCTGTCTCCCCGTGCAAACACTGCTTTTCTGTTCTTTCACGATTGATCACTCCAAGTATTTTATCTACCTGATGTAAACGTTCAGCCCATATGCCAGTCTGTTATTTGGCTGGAAGCCACAGGAGTGAGTTCCATTCCAGACCTGAAGGGGGCTAGGAGCCTGCTAATGGGGCAGGGAGGCCACATCTTCTGACCTCCTCTGACCATGTAAGAGGAAGACAGAATCACTATCAGCAGCCCAAGGCCTATTCCTGGAAGGCCAGGCATGCTTCCTCCCTCCAGCCTTTTCATCAACCATTCCTCCTGTGGCACCCACCACCTCTCTGCTGGGTTCAGTAATTTGCTGCAGTGACCACACAGAACTCACAGAGTATGGGGTTTATTAGGGAAGCAACAGGCTACAATTCAAGTTCAGGAATGCTCAGTCTCTCTCAGCCAGCTATCTCACTCAGCATCTAGCCATCTCACTCAGCATTCAGTGGTGTCTCTCGGCAGCCAGCCGTGTCTCTCAGCAGCCATCCGGCTCTCTCAGCAGGCCATTTTTCTCAGTCTCTCAGTAGCATGTCTCTCTCAGCAGCATGTGTCTCTCGCATCTCTTTCAGCAAATGCATCTCTCCACCAGCAGTCAGAGAGACTCTCCCCATCTCTGCCTCTAGGAGGGCTCACTTTAAGCCCAGCAAATACCAGAATTCCACACGCCTGAGAAGGAGCAAACTTCCCAGAAAATTGCTTCGTGCTGCTCTCTCAACCCCAGGAGGATAACTTTAACAATCAGAGCTACTTAATTGCTCATGGCACATTCCACCACAGAGTTTACAAAGGCTATGGCTAGAAAAGCCATAGTATGTAATTTACTACACCACAGGGCAATAGTCTCAGGGATCTCACCAGACTCTATCAGATCAGCAAACCTTGTCTTTTTTATGATTTTGAGTTTTGTTCCACATTGTTCTCCCACTCTGTCTAGTATCTCCTCTACCAATCCCCCTCCAAATGGTTGACAGTGGTAGCCAGACACCATCTAGTTCTTCTAGTCCTTGGACTAATTGTTTCTATGCATCTTTGCTTTTCTTCATTCTTCTTTGTTCTGGACAAGGAGAGACCCATCGTTGCATCTAGATGGCCACTTCCAAGCTTTTAAGATCCCAATCACTACCCACAAAAGTAGGATGTAGAGCAATGTTTTTGTGTAGTATGTTTTGCCAATTGAACGTGATGTCCCCTGTGACCATGGTCTTGAGCCCGCAGGTCCAACTACTCACGCCCTCTGGGTAGCTGGCAGTGTCCAAGAAGTGACTACAACCGTGTCCCTTGTCAGCTCTACTATATACCTGGAAATTCTTACAGAACATACAAATACACTTGTAGAAACATTGTCTGCCAACACTATACATGATCATGGGCACACTCCCCCCTGCATAGGCATACCTGATCATTCAGCCTGTACACCCATCTATCTACCCATAGATCAATATTTGCCATCACTGACAGTGCAGTACTGCATGTGCAAAAGGGTTCATCTTTGTTGTCTGTACCTCCCATTCACCTCTCTCTATCTTCCTCTTCCTCAGTGCCACCATGTTGATCACTTATATTTGGTACATTGCCCTTCCCTTCACCCAAATCAGCACTTATCCCTACCTATCTAACAATGTTCCCTCCCCTCCCCTGCCACCCCTGGTAACCAGCAAAGAAAGTTTCCTTCCATATATAAACCTTTCCTTGACTTTTTTCAGTGAATTGAACTAATGCAATATTTGTCCTTCTGTGACTGACTTATTTCACTCAGCATAATGTCCTCTAAGTTGATCTACATTATACGGTGTTTTGTAGATTCTGCATTATTCTTTAGTGTTCCATAGTATTCCACTGTGTGTATGTGCCATAGTTTGCTTATCCAATCTTCTGTTGGTGAGCACCTAGCTTGTTTCCATCTTTTTGCTATTGTTGATAGTGCTGCAATAAACATGGGTATGCATCTATCTAGGAGCTCTGGTAGCGTAGTGCCTAAGGCACTTGACTGCTAACCAGAAGGCTGGTGGCTCAAACCCACCAGCCACTCCTCAGAAGGAAGTTTGGGCAATCCTACTTCCATAGTGATACTGCCTCGGAAACCCAAGGAGGGGTCGCTATGAGTCGGGTCCGACTTGACAGCACATAACAACAACAACAACATGCATCTGTCTCTTCTTGTCCTGGCTCTCACTTCTTTAGGATATATACCTAGTAATGGGATTGCTAGATAAAATGGTATTTCTAATTCCAACTTTTTAAGGAATCACCATAGTGCTTTCCACAGTGGTTTTATCATTTGACAGTCCCACCAGCAGTGTATGTGAGTCCCAATCTTGCCACAGCCTCACCAGAATTTGTTGTTTTCTGTCTTGTTGAACTTTGCTGCTAGTGCTGGGGCAAGATGGTATCTCATTGTTGTTTTAATATGTGTTTTTTAGCCACCTGAATATCCTCTTTAGTGAATTGTTTATTCATGACCCCTGCCCATTTTTTAATTGGATTGTTTGTCTTTTTGTTGTTGAGGTGTTGGAGTTTTCTATAAATTTTAGAGATATGTCTCTTGTCAGATAGGTCATTGACAAATATTTTTTCCCAATCTGCAGTTTCTCTCTTTAGTCTTGCAGAAGTCTTTTGAAGACATAAAAATTTAATTTTTACAAGGTCCCATTCATCTAATTTACCTTCTGCTCTTTGTGCATTTGGGGTTATGCTTGACAGTCTATTTATGCGATAAATTAGGGCCCCTAAATTTGCCCCTATTTTTTTCCTTGAGGAACTTTATAGTTTTAGGTTTCACATTTAAGTCTTTGATCCATCTGGAGTTAGTTTTTGTGTATGGTGTTAGGTAAAGGTACCTAAATATAATTCTTTTGTCAGGAATTTCCAATGCTGTTTCTTCCTCAGGGATGTGTTCTGGGTCTGTATCCTAGTCTCTTGTTTCTATTGCTTTCTCTTGCTTCTTTTTGTGGACTGTGATGGTCTGTTGTCTCTGAGACATTGTAATGTAGTTGTATTTATATTTAATTGGTGATTGTATGTTGGAGTGATTCACTCAAGATTTTTGTTTTCTTTGGATGTGTCTGAGTAATAGGGTATTGTGCTCCTGTATTTGCTAATTGGCAGCACTTACACATTCACCACTTGTCTCCTGGTAGGTGTGATAGAAAATGAGAGTAGGTGCACAGATTTCTTTTAGCTGTTTGTGAAGAGCAGTTAAGGGTGGGTCAAGCTCATATTGGCTGTCATGTATCCTTGGCCAGTTGGTGCAGAAGCAAGTGGTGGCCCTCACTCAGTAGGTGGGGCTGAAGAAGGTACAGGTATGGTTGGGTCATATAGGCATGGTTGCTCTCTCCCATGATAATTTGTCTGAATTAGACAAAAACAATAATAAAAAAAAACACCAAAAAAGTAAAAATAGGGCAAAAAACATACACTGCATAAACACACAGGAACAATCACCAAAAACAGAAAGAAAGAAAAAAAAAGAGGAAAGGCAATAAAAGAGAGGAAATATTTAAAGAAATACTTTTAAAAGACAAAATAAATGTGTAGAGAAAAAGAGAAAAAAGTAAACCTACAATATCTGGGGATGGGGAAATAAGAGAAAAGAGCTAGAGTAAGAGAATAATGAGGGAAAAGATGGGAACCAGGAAAAGGGAAGAGAAAGTAAAGCCCAAAACTAGAACC